ACCTAATCAATTTTCATGAATATTAAGTTTTCAAAATCTGAAAATATTTATCTTATTAATTAATCAAAGGCTTCAGCCCGATTTTTTTTTTTTTTTTTTTTTTTTTATATTCGAAGATAATTCGTTGGAAGAAAAAGAAAGAAAGTAAATACCTAGATGGAATGGTGTTTAAGTGATTCTTGAAGTCCTATTAAATGTAATTACACGAATAATAATACTTTTTAAGATAATTTTTTAATATTTTTTTCGTAAGACATGTTTTTTTTTTGCCATTTGGGGGAGGGCCTAAAGCCCGAAAACCTCCTCCCTTTCCCCTACCCTGGGATACGCCATTGGAGTAGGTCATCATGAGTGATATTGAAACATGAAACGGGGCAAGTGGAAGTCAGAAGAGCTATCATTGACTCAGATCGTGCGTAGACGTCAGATGTACACTTCCTGCGCATTTAGAATTTCCTCAGAGGTCATGTTGATCTTTAGGAACAAATTTATTTTGTTTACAAAATTATTATATTATTTTTATTTATTTATCATTGTATAATATCGTAAATAATTTAGAAGAGTTCATGAACAAGCATATGTTTCATATGGGTGCTTTTCTTTTTGAAATTTACTCCTTTTTTAAAATTTTAATTTTTCATCAACATAAATGAACGGGCACATATTATGATTTACTAATATTTAATTCCTACAAGTTACTAATCCAGCATGAAGCATCTTTTGTGTCCAGTAATAAAAATGCTATTATAAATGTATCTAGCACAAACGTAAATTCACTATATGTGTTTTTAACATGAATGATTATATAAGGTTTCTGAAGAAAAATCCAGGCATCTAGGAGTGAAAGTAAATTTTGTGCCTTACACATTTGGACAGGTTTTTGAGTTCATATATGCTCACAGATCGTAAATGATAATCAGGTGGCTGCAAAAGCACCTATCAAGCAGTATTGTTTATGGAAGGACCAAGATAGCTCTGTATATGGCTCTGTTCGTCCATTACTCATATATGGATCAGAAAACTCCTATGTCGTTTATGTGGACCAGTATTGGGGAATATACCAGTTGTCCGGATACCCTGATATAACTAAAGTCCCGAAACTGAGATGGCTAAAATGGGCTGGTCATCTGGCGAGAATGAATGATGACATCATCTCAAAAAAACTGACAGAAACCACACGCGGAAGACATGGAGCAAGAAGGCGAAGAGTGCGATGGCAGGACTGTGACCAATGACGCGAGAAATATTGATATTCTAACAAAACGATTACAATGAAAAATTAACCAGAGGGCACGTGTCTGGTCGCAGTGTAAAGGTTATATGTTTATATCGGCGATAATCAAACTCCTCAGATGGACAATGTATGTCTTAATATTCGATAGAAGGATGACCTATGGTCCACACGTCAAAATGAAAAGAAATACTGAAAATATTATACTCACTTTTTTCCATATCAAGCAAACACCAAGTTCATAATCATACCTATTCAAGCCCATATGTACTGAGATCTCACAGATTTATAGTCCAGCAACAAAAACTACAATAAAACTTACAATCCAAAATTTTAAAATTAATAACAGTCACTCCTTAATTGTTCAACAACAAAACTTTACAAACCGACTAACGATAATCAACTATCGACTAATACATACGTACTCTTTAATCTTAGATTTCATATTAAACTACGTGGACATAACAATAGGCTTATAAACAACATGGCTACATGCCCATCAGAAGACGACTGAAAAGGAGCTGGATGAGAGATTTCCTGTCCTGAATCAACGGAGGGCCAGGAATTGATGCTGGTTGGCACCATCCTTCCTCATGCCAATTACAAATTCAATAAAATATTTGCTGATAGTCACATCTATTACAGGAGCGAATCATGATATAAAGGGGTTAAAAAGTTTATGACTATCTGTTCAAATATTTGATTATAGTTCCTTTATAAATTAAATAATAGTCCAGGGTCTTAAAACTGGATATACCCCATTTTTCTGTATTTTGGCATTCGATGCCACCACTTTCATCCGAAACGGCGTATTATACTATAGAATTTTTAGCAGATAAAATATCAATTTGATAAAATGCACACGGATTTCTCAAAAAGATTGGCATATACACGGTGTGTATTTTCAAGGGAAGGTTTAAGTATATATTTTTTTAATTTTAAAACGATGTTTCCATATAGAATTATAATATAATATATGTGGTAAGGTAGGACTAGAAAGCCGTGCGTGAGTTGGGATAGGTAAGATACGGTAATTACAAAGGCATTGTAGGGAGACCCAAGTCCTTGGCTATGAGGGGCTGTTGGCATTTTGTATTTTGGTCAAGGCTGAGCCAGTCCAAGGCAGGGCAATGCTCCCAACCAGCCACGCACTTTCCATTTCTCTCTTCTCATATAAACATTTATTTATTTGTTTATAAATATATCAAAACTTCCAATAAACTAAAAGTGTTATGTCAAAATCAAAATCAAAAATAGATACAACACAGTTTCTGCTCTGGAGATCATTACAAAAAATAACAGTAAAAGGGTATATTTTTAAAAAAGATATATATATATATTTTATTTATCTATTTTTGTTCAAAGATGCCGCTTAGTATAATGGTTGTAAACAAGAAATAAAAAAAAATTATGAACAAAAAGGTAAGGAAAATATCGTGAATTAAAAAAAAAAAAAACAACGAAAATTTGGGTGGAATTAGTGACACTTAGACCACAGGCGATCTATGAGGGTAGGAGGGAAGAGGCTCCCAAAATGGTAAAATATATCTGTGTCTTATGAAAAAAATTATATCTCTATCGTTCGTAAATTACATTTAATAGGACTTCAAGAATCACTTAAACATCATTTCTTGTGAGTATTTAGTTTCTTTATTTTTCTTCCAAAGTAATTATCATTATATACAGTGAAAAAAATGCTTCTGGACACAAGCTCTCCACCCCCCTCCCCCCCGCCACAACAAAAAAAAAAATTAATTCCTTGATCCCTTAGTACTTACAACAATGGTATTGTGACAATTGAAACTAATTGAGTAAAAATAAACCTTATCTTTGAAATGTCAATTTGAAGCTCTTGTTTATTTTTCGGGAAGAGGCTGGATATCCTATGAATTTTTTATTATACTCTTAAGATGCATTTAGGCATTTCACAAACTATGGGGAACACAAATATTTAGATGGTTGGTTTCCTATGATAGTGTTTTTGTTTCTTGTTTCTCATGTTTTCCATCTGCTGTCGGTATCCAGAAAAATAAATAATTTGATTTAACAATAATGTTGCTGTTAGTTCAGTTAGGTAATTGTGTTTCCCGTAGTTTGTGAAATGTTTTTGAGTGTACCCTGAAATGCTTAAACGCTTCTTTATTACATAAATAATATTTAGAAATCACTCAATTTTTTAATTTTAATGTAAATATTGTTATAAATACATTTTTTTAAAAATACCTTACCTTCTGCTCAAGATGAATGAAAACTATTTATTCATCTTTCATTCTTATTTTGCTCATTCTGAAAAAAATAGCAATACAAATTTAAATATTGGGTATTTCAATTAAATTAATTAAAACTTTTAAATTTTAATGGATGAACAATAATGTTTGTAAATTATTGTTTTATATTTGATCATGAAAAGCTTCTTATAACATTTTTCCATGAATGTAATAAAGAAATATCAATTTTATTTAAATAATAAGAGTTATTATTATTTATTAAATAATAATTTTTAATAAATCAATATTTCAAAAAAAACAAATAATTTAAAATACATAAGTAGATTTTAAAATAGACCAATCAGAAAAAGAAAGAAGAGTGATATAAGGTTATACAATGTGCACAAACACTTCCAAGTAGAAACTGGGTCATAGAGAGATAATAAGCTAAATTGCCTCTGTCAAGATAATAAATAACTTCTCCAATAGAAAAAAAATTCTTTTCTTCACATTGCAGTAAAATATATGGAATCCTGAAAACTCTTTGTGAAACAATATTTTATTTATTATATGCAAGGTTATTTAACAATTATTCATTTTATTAACCTCATCCACATCGACTCTCTCTTCTCTTCAATGAACAATTTTATGAGAAGGAGTTGGTCAGGTGTGAAGTCAAATAAATACTGTATACTAAAATAGTATTTTATTGGATAATGAAATACTATTTTAGTATATAGTATTATAAATACTATATTCATCACCCCTGACCAATTCCTCATATTATAATCAGTATCAAACATTTCTACACCATTATGAATACCAATGTTATTCTCATTGTAAAAATTATTATAATATATATAACAATAAATCAAATTCTTAGTGTTTTATTTTTTAAACCTATTAACATAGTAAATAAAATTGTCTATTGAAAAATGTGTATATATATATTTTATTGAATGTTATAACAAAGAATGTCAGTTCTATTAATTATAAAAATAATAGCTATTTACTGATGAGTAAATAATTTATAAATTAATAATATGTACTTAGAATTGGCCTTCATTGCAGAACTGTGACAATAGGTCAATTAGCCCAAAAAACTAATAATCATGCATCTTGTATTTTTCAATTTGAGTCTATTTTTTTTTTTTAAAGAATGAATTGAAAAATTTGTTCAATAGAATAGAGATTTGGTGTAAAACTTGACCCCTCATTTCAACAGGCATTACACTTTTTATCAGAATAAAAATAATTTTTAATGTAATATCTATCATAATTTTAAACTCATCTATTGGGTTTGTACCAAAGCTAAAATTTATAAATTGTTAACAATTCATAATGAGCTCAAACAATTTATATTTGTTTCTTCTTACCTTGAATAATAGCATTAGTTGTAAATTGTTACATTTACATATTGAATTTTAAATATATAAATTTTTTTTATTGAATACTTTTTTATTTTGTCTTTCTACTTCCAAAGCTGTTATTTATTACATTAATTAACTCTTATGAAGACATTTTGTTAGCTAATTTCAACTTATTGTTTTTGTTTTTTCCAGATGTAAAGGTTTCTTCAAAAGGACAGTTCAAAACCGACGGGTGTACACCTGCGTAGCCGATGGTGTTTGTGAAATCACAAAAGCTCAAAGAAATAGGTGTCAGTATTGCCGTTTTAAGAAATGTATAGAACAAGGAATGGTTTTACAAGGTTTGTACTTACTTTTTAATAAGTTATTAAATATTAATAATTATTTAGAAATAATAACTGACTACCAGTTATATATATTTAGTTTTTATGATTTATATATTTAGTTTTTTATGTTTATCTGATATATAAACTATAACAGATATATATATATATATATATATATATATATATATATATATATATATATATATACATTTTTTTTCCAATAGCAACAGTATTACTATTTTTATTGTGAAAAAATCATCATAATGATTTTTATTTTTAATATTTTTTTAGCTAAAGTGATAAACAGTTGGTATTCATATATAACTATATATTTTTATTAATGATGTATTCTTTCTTATAGCTGTAAGAGAAGACAGAATGCCTGGAGGAAGAAATTCTGGGGCAGTATATAATTTATATAAGGTAATGTATACTAAAACATTTAAAATTAATGTTTATAATTATTATTATAGTTATAAATTTTAGATATCTTCTGATCATATTCTTATTTTGCAGTTGATAGTATATATTAACATCTATATAATATTTAATATTTATTTTTTACTTATATAATTTTGAGTAGTAATAATAAAAATTGAAATTAACCAGTTTGTATTTTTTATAATGTTTTCATTATGAAGATCAGTGACCTATTATAATACTACTAATCTGATTCTATAAATCTAGTATCTTTTTATAACATTAGTTTTATTTTGTTAAAGCTTGAATCTATTGATTTAGTTTGTAACCATTAAAGTGATAAAGGTTATTGTTTTAAAATTTCAAAAGAGTAACAAGTAACATGAAATTTTAGGTAAAATATAAGAAGCACAAAAAGTCTGTTCGGAACGGTCAAATGAAAGGACAGACAGACAAAGGTAAAGCTGTTATAAGCCCAGAACCTGCATCGCACATGCCTCCCCATCTTGTTAATGGAACCATATTAAAGACTGCCCTTACTAATCCAAGTGAAGTAAGTAAATATCACAAAGGATTCTAATATTGCATTATGATATAATATTTAGTTAGTTTTAAATTTAGTAAATAAATCATACCAGGTTCAATCTAAAATACAGTAATATGTTGATTATATGGGCTAAATAAAGTTCTAAAATGGCATCACTTAGCTACTAGGTATTTCATTTATGAATTGATAATTTTTCCAAACTCAGCTTCTGACTGCTTATTCCTTTTTTTTCTTTTTTTTTTTTTTGCAATTTTAATCTAAATTTAATTTTTGACTAACTGATGATTCATAGCTTTTTTGTAGATTTGTTTCTTTATTAGAATTTGTATTTCATTGTAAATGTGAAAAAATAAAATTTACTTCATTTATTCATTCTAAATTTAATTTTTGATACTGTGTCTATTAATTTAACTTATCTTCGCTTTTTGTAACAACTTAGTTTATAATAAGTAGCATTCAATATTTATATTTATATTCACCTAAAATTTATCATTTATTTAATTTAAATATTTGAAAAAGTTATTAGTTGAATATTACCTTTCTGCTAAGTTAGACTTAAATTTCACTATCTTTTTTATATTAATTGAATAAAATAAAAAAATGTTGGTTTTCACATCGAAAACATTTTTGTTATATGTTTATATAATTTTTGTAATTATATTATATCTATTCTAGGTTGTGCATTTAAGACAAAGACTGGATAGTGCTGTTAGCAGTTCAAGAGATCGAGCACTATCGGTAGATACAACGCTTTCAGTTATTCAGACCTTAATAGATTGTGATGAATTTCAGGATATCGCAACTCTCAGGGTATTGAATTGTTATTTATTTTTAGTTTTTATTATGTATTAAATACTTTGAGGGATTATTTTGTAGTATTTAAAAATATTTTCTTTTACTTCATTTTTGTATTTACATATTTAATTCAATCCTCAAATTTATAACTTTAAAAATCTAGTTTGAAATACTGGAATCCAAAATTATTTAATTAATATTGATTTATTGCATAAGTATTTAGGAATATTATTTATAAATATTAATACAATACTCAATTTACATTAGAAAATAAGAAAATTATATCTAGAAATTACAATTGAAAATATTTTTTTAATTTATCAATAGATTGTTCCATAAAAGTTTAAATTAAAACATTTTCCTCCACTACTTTTTCACTTATTTAATTAAAATTAATATTATTAATTATGATTTATTTCATTGAATATTACTCAATTAATAAAATTATTGTCATCCTTAATTATTTTTGTCTTTTCATATTCAGCACGTTTCTTTTTATTCTTGTAGTCAAGGTGATAGTCTTATAATTTATTGATTCCACAGAGAAAAATAACAATATATATTATTACGTTTTACTAATGTTATATATTTCAAACATTTATTCAATCAATATTCAACAATTGTATTTGTATTTTATTACAGAATCTTGAAGATCTCTTAGACCACAAATCTGACCTATCAGATAAATTGATGCAGATTGGTGATTCCATTGTTTACAAACTCGTTCAGTGGACTAAACGGTTACCGTTTTACTTAGAACTTCCAGTTGAAGTGAGAATACCTTGAATTATATAAACCTTTTGTGATATTTTTTATTAACAAAACAAAATAATGATGTAGTTATAATGAGTTCTTGAGAAGATTATTTCCTCAATGTTGTGAATCTAATTACTATCAATTTAATGGATTAATAAAGCAAAAAAAAAGTCCACATGCAGATATGTGATATTAAAAATAATACCATATATGTTGAAAGCATAAAAATAAAAATTTCTTATGTTAAGAAATGGGAAGTAGAGATGCAATGTAAACTATGAGAATTTTTGAAAGATTAGGTGTCTGATTAGCAGTCTGTAAAGACTTGGTTGAAGCATCTGAAGTCGTTTAGCCATATTTCCTAAATGTATACTTATGAGGATAAATTATAATAATAAATTCTCAGAAGTGAGATCATTAGTTAGCTTGAACTTGAAGATTATAACATGCTATAAGTAAGCCAGTATCGCCATCTAGAGGAGAAAAAAGGTGGGTGATATCAATTTAAGATATCTACAACGGACTACCTGGACTAGACCTCTGAGATAGAAGGTGTTATACTTTGAAAGGCAAAGAAATAGCAACAAAAATAAAACAATAATTGAAAAATTTTGATTTTGTGGCATTATGTTGGGAAATAGCTTATGTTTTATATATCTTAATGCACGCATCCGCGTTAAACATTGAAGATTAAAAGAATGAACAGATGATTGATGCTTAGACAAAATATATTAAAATTTGTTTGATACTCTGTATCAATTTTAAATCAAGTTCTCATGTATAAAAAGAAGAATCTAAAACTATTTAGATTTTGGTGAGAGAACATAATTTTTAATCATGTCTTTCTTAAATGATTAATTTTAACTCAAGCTTATTCACTTGATGGTGGGTATATATTTCAGGTCTTGGGTATTTATTTTTATGTATTTGAGAAAATATAAATGAAAGTGATGTAGGTCCAATATTAAAATTTTGAGATATTAGTTATTTTGTGGATACAATTATAATAAGATAAAATTATAAAACACTAGTTTTTTATTTATGTTTTAGCAATTATGGTATAAAAATGAATTTTTTTTTTAAATCAACACTGTCTCCAAAAGATTTTCAGTTTTGAAAAAAAAAAAATTATATAACCTTTGCCACTGTAATAGTTTCAAACCAGGCTTATTTTTCAACTGCCTCATTTAACAAGAACATTAAAGATAGTTACAGAAAACAAAAATTTTTAACTAATTATTATTATTCATTTTATTGAACATTTTTGTTTTAATTATACAAAATTATTTTGTTTCAGTACTGAAATTTTATTGTTAGAAAATAAAAGTTGCACTAAGCTAACATTAGTTTAAAATAATTCTATTTTTTACTCTCAGGTACATACAAAACTATTAACTCACACATGGCATGAGTTACTCGTTCTGACAACTTCAGCGTACCAAGCAATTCATGGTGCTCATCGGTTAGCTAGTACTGGTTCGGATGGTACAGAAGCTAATTTTACCCAAGAGGTAACTATTTGAAAATTATTGATTGTACAAAACAATAAGTTTCAAAATGAGCTCAAACCCATTTTTCAAAAAATATATTTTTTTTTTTTTACAAGTTCTTAATGAACTGTAGCCAGTAGCAAGAGCTTATCGACCAGAGTTTAAAATTAGTTTTAAAAAAACAATGCATTCCAATATTTTTTTCTGAAAAATCTTTGAAATTTAATTGAGCCGATTTTGAAACTTTTGCCTCATCTATATTAAATTATTTATAACATACATTAAAATATTCATTCACCTCAATTTGTTTGCTTTATGAGGTTTTTCAAATTTTGATAAATACTTTTTCTAAAATCCAATTAAATTGAAAATAATAATGTTCCCAAAATAATGTTTTGAATTATTTTTTAGGTATCTAATAACCTTTGTACCCTCCAAACCTGCCTAACATCGATGATGGGACGTCCAATCACCATGGATCAATTGAGACAAGATGTCGGTCTCATGGTGGAGAAAATAACTTATGTAACACTTATGTTCCGCAGGATCAAACTCACAATGCAGGAATATGTCTGTCTGAAGGTCATCATTATGCTGAATCCATGTATGATATAATTTTTAAAATTTCTTATTTTTTGAAAAATTTATGTAGAAAAGCATTATTATTTAGTTTATAATCTAAAGAATTAATAAAGGAATTCTTATTTCAGCGAGGGGAGATGCGAATGAACTAGAGGCCATGCAAGAAAGATATATGAGCTGCCTAAGGACGTACGTTGAGCATAGTTTTCCAAATCAACCCAACCGATTTCATGATCTCCTCTTAAGGCTGCCAGAGGTAATATTCAAATAAGAAAAATAAATGCAAGCTACTAATTTACTAAATAAAAATTATTATTGTATGCATTGGTAGTCACAAAAACTGACATTTCATGTAGTACAATTATATATCAATGGTTAGTTTATGTTGTAACAATTTAACTAAGGGTTGAAAACTATTTAAAAATGTCTAATCTTGAGCTTCAGAAATTTCAGTCCCTCTTATTTTACTAAAAAACTTTTACCTGAACAAAAAACATGCATTTTTTGTGCAAATGATAGAGGTATCAAACGACCTTTTGAACAAGATTTTATTCAGATATTCTTATACATAATTTTTTATTTGAATGATCGAAATCCCAGCCTGTGTTTTGTCCCTGACTCTACATTTTGTACATAAATTGATGTAAGCAACTGGTGTGATTGAATTACAGGGTTGTTTCTTTGAAGCTTCGTTACTGTGTTGTCATGTTAGCCAGAAACTATTGCAATTGTTTTCATTTTGTTGCACGGAAAATTATTGCATGATATGCTCACAATAGTATGTGTCCCCAACATTTTGGCCTAGTCATCCAGACAAAGTAGTTTTGAATATCCTGCCAATTATAGGATACAGGCGATACATTTTTGGGACTTGAGGTAACACGGATCCTTCCTTAGTGGTTTTCCCTCTCATTTTACTTCCACTCCACATCCACACGGTTTGAATAACGTTCCATTTACAGTAAGGTCATTTTGCACGATTTTCTTCATAACAGTGAGTAAATTTTTAAATTCCTTTCTTAGACCTATTTGCCATAGGATGATTATGTTCCTGTAGAAATCTGTTATCATAATATTTTAAAATTGATATCCTATAAACTCCGTCAAAATGCTATTCTGACTTTATGAATAAAAACTAGGTGACTGGAATTTTAGTAAAATGTTTCTTACTAAATAAGGTACAGTTACTTAAAAGCAAACTGAACAAACAATTTAAATCCTGTAAAATTTTGCTTCTTTTATACTACTTGGTTATGCTGTCATAATAATACTCTCATTTAAATATTAAAAAAAAAAAAAAGGAGAAAAAAAAGTGGATTTGACAATAACTTGATTAATCATCTCAAAGAATGTTTTTCTAACTTAAGCTGCAACAGTGATTGAAAATTTGAATGTCACTTGTCATCAGAAATAGTTCTCATCTTCTAAAAATCTTGAAAAGATTATTCTAAAATTTGTATGTATATCCACTTCAGAAATGTATGTTGTGGATATTTATTGATTATATAGTAAAATGTTTGGGAAAAATTGTAGATGAAATATACTAAAAACTTTGCCATTTCGGAGATTAGCGTGTATATTCAATGAATATAATTATAAGTATGTTAATATAGTAATATTAATACAGCATTATCTAAATAATATAAATAGGTTCAATGACCATAACCATTAAATAACCTTTTTAACGAATATCAACTAAACATCACAATTTGCTAATTTATAACTAAACCAAAAAAGTAGATAAAGCTATTAATAATTTTTAATTATCTTTATATCTCAGACACTTATTACTTATAAAAAATAAAATGCAGCTATTAACACATTTGTTGTTTTCTTTCACAGGTGCAGTCAGCAGCTTCACTCCTACTCGAAAGCAAAATGTTCTATGTTCCATTCCTCCTTAACTCCACTATCCAGAGGTAGTAAAACGTAGAACTTAGATCTCCAAGGAAGCCTCTAGAGCAATGGAATTAAGGCAAGACTGCAACAGGGACCGCCCGCCCTCCCTCGACTGACCAAAGCCGAACTCACACCCTTCGAGTTTGCCTTAGTCCAAGATTACGAGAGAGGGGAAGCAGAGAATGCTATTGTGATTTTTATATAATGTTGATTCCTATAATGAAAGTTTGTTACCATTTTCATAAAAATAATGAAAAAAAAAAAAACTCTCCTACTATCCTTATGTTGTTAGTGACAAGTGATCTTCTAGTTAACTCCTTTATGCAGATATTCCAAATATGATCATGCCATTTCATATTTTCTTTTTTTTTTAAACTAAAATACTAAGTCGCTAAGTTACCAGCATTACATCCAGGTTCGTTATGTTCCTTTTTGTGAATTGACGGCTTAAAAGCCGAGTTTTGTAAATATCAGTGGTGGACGGGTCTGTTAAAAAAGAAGAAAAACTGTTGGTTAAGTATTCCATCACTGGAATAGACTGACAGACTGTTAGCTATATGTCGGTACAATTTTAATTTAAACAATCAGTTTCACATTTATATTTATTAAGTTAAAGCAATTTTTTTTTACATTATTATTTTTTTCATCGCTAAAAAGTTTGTTGAAGTTGCTTTGGCTTATTGGAATATAAATGGAAATATTTAAACACTGCCAGTACCGACGTAGAGTAAATAATATGTAAGTAGTTTTGTAACATTTATTCCTTTCAGTTTAAGTACAAAAGCAGATCCTTTAAATTTATTAACTAATTTCACCAAAACCAAAATAGGTTGTATATTATTGTGTATATAGGAGCTATAATTTTGTTATGTCTATATAAATATTGTAAATGGTTCATGCAGTATTCACACTCTTTAAGATGTAAAATATGTTCTATCATTGCTGCAATTTGACTGCTTTGCAATGGGTTTTAAACTTTCTTATTTCAATTTTTTTCTAATCTAAACATCTTGTAATTTAAGGCACTGGTGTAGACAGATGAATTATAAGTTTATAGTTTTTATTTAAAATGATTTTATTCTTGATTAATTTAAATTACTGACATTTTTTTTCTAGTTCCTCCTTTCTATTCATTTTTACAATTCAATAAATGACTTTAATTATTAAGTAATTAGTGTAATAATCATCTCATAAACAGCTATGCTTCATGTCAATTCATCTTTCACAACTATTTCTATAAGAATAAGGATAACTCAATTAATTAAGGAGTATATATATACACATATATATGTACAATAATAAATATATATTATAAATTAGAAATGAATACAGATAAATAAAATTGTGTTAATGTTTGTAAGTATAGTGACCAATGATAAAATAATCTTTCATTATCAGTAGTCTTGCCTCCGAAGGGTTAAGGCGAGTAATAAGACTCATGAATGTTTACTGTGTCTTATTTCAGACTTTTTTTTTTTAAACGTTACTATCTCAAGAGAATGTTCTTATATACATGAAATGAGACTGACAACATGACTGCCACTTTGAAATACCTTTAAATTAACTTAGAGATAGTAATAATGTAGACTCAAAATATTTAAAAGAAGAAGAAAAGTCCACTTAATTTGTATAAATAATTACTGCTTTTCCACAATACTTCTGAACTGTAAAAATGTGTGATATTTTCTGAAAGTGTAAAGTGGAGGCCTATTTACTAAGCACACTTTTTTTTAATAACCTTTAACATGATATTTCAAAAATATAATTTATAAAATTTGCACTTTCGCAACACTTGAAATATTAATTTTTGTAATTGTATATGAGCATTTAAGAAAAAAAAACAAAAAAATTAACTCGAACATTGCAAAGTAGGAGAATGTGATTTTTTTCCTCGTTATATTTTTAATTTTACACTTTCAATATTTGTATATAATAAGCACATAGTTTTGACTGTTTATAATGTTATGTTACCAGGAGAAATTCATTATGTACACAGTTTTAAGGATGTGTAAAAGAAAAAAATTTAAGAAAATCGACTGAAGAGCATTGATAGTTTCAGCCAACGTAATGTTTTTTGCATTATATAGTTTGTTATATTTTGTATATTAATGTGAGATAATATTTTATTGGTGCTAACAAGTATTGTGAAAATGTTAGTTGGAATAAAGTGAAAAGTCTGATTGACTCTAAACATAGAGAGTTGTAACTCTGTGTCTTAATCATTTGTAAATTTGAAGAAAATTCCGTAAATTTATTGATCCTGCATAAAAGATTGGCAGGTATAGTAATGCCTTGAGTTCACTCTAATATATTATTACTTCTATAATTATTGTTGTCTTTAAATGTAAATACATGAATGTCCTTAGTATCAGTTAATATCATTCCCTCAACCTTTAATAATAGTCAGTAAGTTATAAGAAGTTTTAAAAATAATTATTCTTTTATGAGATGTTTTATGAATTTTTCCTGCTACCAATTTTTGATATAGTTGTAATCTATTTATCAGATTGTCATGAGGATGGTACTTGATCAAAGAATACTTAAAAGGAAATCATCAGCTGACACAAAATAAGAAATAAAGTATACCTAGTAAATAATTAAATTTTTAAAAACACCTACCATATTTTGATGTCTGAGAAACTTCAACACTTTAATTTAATGTTTAGTTTGTTCACTAGCATGTAGCATGATATAAAATTTTTGAACAGAGTTGACTTGAATGAAAATAAAAAAAGAACCCAACTTTACCCAAACACTTTGGGAGAAAGGTTTTGTTATAATAATAATAATACTTTATTCTTGGAGGACTCTCTTTAGAATAATACAGAAAGACATAAATATGGGCTAAGGAGCTTCAGAGATAAATAAATAAAAATACAGAGCAATTAAACAGTCTTAATAAATATATATATATATATATATATATATATATAAGTTACTTTCTAATTTTAATCAGTTAAGAATAAAAAATTGAAAAAAAGGATGAAGTAAAAATAATGAAGAACGAACTAATAATTTATGTACATATTTACATTAGTATCTATTTACAATTTCATGGGGACTGGATAGATAAGAAATGATTGAACAGAGGGATTTAAAGGTATTAGATTGACAAATGTGAGAAGGATGGAGTTTCAAAGGGATGAGGATCGCATAATGACCGATCTGTCAAAAGCAGTGGTTTAGTGGGCCCTTATGTATAAATCAGAAGACCGGAAACGAGTATTGCGGGAACGAACAGAGGATTTGAATTGAAGGAGCTCGGAGATGTATGAAGGATTGTGGGATTGGATGACTTGATAAGGAAAGATGCCACAAAATATTTACAATGCTAGGAACGAGAAAGACACTTCAACTCTGCATAAAAATGGGAAATAGAGGCATCCCTTGGGATCCCGAAGATGAATCGTACAAAGCAATTTATCAAACATTTTAGTTTTGCCTCGAGATCCCCAGAGACGCTCCCATATACCGAACAGCAATACTCAAAGTCGGGAAAAATTAAGGAAGTGACTAGGAGCCTACAGGTTTCAAATAGAAATAGGTGACGTGAATAATTTAGACGTTTTAGAGTGGAAATGGCATGGCAGGAAATATTGGATACATAGTTTTTCCAGGAAAGCGTTTGATCGAAGGTTATTCCAAGATTTTTGATGGTGGGGAAAAATTTGATGAGATTAGCATGCAGGAACAGAGTTGGAATATTAGGAACATTTTTAAGGAGGTGATTGGAGCCTATTAAGATTGCCTTCGTCTTTTCCGCATTCAACTTCAACTTGTTAGCTCTTGTCCAGTCACAAATTCTATCCAAGTCTTCTTGAAGTTTTTCTGCAACAGATAATAGGTCGGAGAGCGGAAAGGACAGGTATATTTGGAAATCATCTGCATAGATATGGTATTGGGAGTGATGGATCATGAGAGGAAGGTCATTAATGTAAATAGCAAACAGAGTAGGAGATAGAGAGGAACCCTGAGGGACACCACAGGAGAGAGGAAGGGTATTAGATGAAGGTTGACCTGGGACTACTACATAATGGGACCAATTTGAAAGCAAGTATTTGAACCAATGCAGGGCACTGTTGGATAGAGAAAGATTGTTCAATTTAGTTAGGAGGATGTTATGGTCAACTGTGTAAAACGCTTTGGAAAAATCTAGAAGGATGAGAATAGTAAGGTTTTGGTGTTCGATGGAGTTTTGGAGGTCATGGGTTATTTTAAGGAGAATGAATTGAGTTGAGTAAGCAGGTCGAAAGCCAGATTAGAATGGGTTGATAAGGGAATGTTCCTCTAGGAAGTTGGAGAGTTGATTTTGGACAAGGTGTTCTAACGGCTTTGAAAGGTTGGATATGAGAGAAATAGGACGGAAGTTGTGCAGTCCGGTAGGGTTGGAAATTTTATTCAAAGGTCGGACTAGGGCAGTTTTCCAGGAGGATGGGAATATGGTGTTTTGTAATACAAAGTTGTAGATATGATAAAGAACAGGAATAAAGACAGGAAGGCTGTATTTTGATAGTTTTACTGGAATATTATCAGGACCATAATCATTCGTGTGGAATTTTAGGATGGTGGAAAGTAATGCGTCGTAGGACACATGGGAGAAAAAGAAGCATTCAGGATTGAAGTTGTCATGTTTAATGTCGAAAGTAGGGGAAGAATTGTGAGTGAAGGATAAGAAATGGTTATTGAGATCATCTGGAAAAAGAGAGAAGGAACTAATATTATTGGATTCTGGTAAGGATAGATTACAGAGTATTTTCCACTTAGATTTGGAGTCGGGATCATTGGACAGGGCATTATGAAAGTAGGTGGCTTTAGCAAGTTGGACTGTGGATTGCTTTCCATTGTGAAGCTCCTAGAAAGATACATAATCCACAGACAAATGGGTTCAACGGTATTTGTGCCTTGCTGCATCTCTTCCCCTCATCATTTCCTTTATCTCATTGGTAAGCCAAGGAGCAGTGGGACAGCGTAAGGTTTTGGTTTTCAGAGGAGCATGGATGTCTAATATGGTTTGTAGGTTTGAGGTCAGGATGAATACCATAGGATCAATGGAGTTATAGGAATAAATGGAGTCCCATTGGAGAGAATTAAGGTCTGGTTGAAGAGATTCATAGGAGAGAAGGTTTAAATTGTGGTATGAAACTGTTTTGGGAGTGAAGGATTTCACAGGTAGGTTGTATGTAAGTTGGATCAGGTCATGTGATGAAAGAAATGAAACTGGATGTTAAGAAGAGGAAAGGATTTTGATGGGAGAGTCAGAGATATAGAGGTCTAACCAAGTATCAGAAAATTGTTTTTGATGGATAGGAGAATAAGGAAAAAGATGAAGGTTATGGAAAAACAGCAGGTGGGTAAGGAAGTATTTTTCGGGATATTGTGAAAGCAAGTTCACATTAAAATCACTGCTGATGATAATATTAATGTGGTTGGAAACCACATCAGTAAGGGAAGATTCAAAGAGTTTGTCAAATGGAACACGAGGAGGGCGGTAAAGTACAGCATACAACAGAGAGAGAATAGAGGAAATTTCAATGAACATGTATTCCATGTGAGGAAAATCATGATGAGGAGACTGTAGGAGGATTTTGGCTTAAGACTGTCATGGATATATAATCCAATACTACCTCCCATGCGATGAGATCTATCATGACGTAGGAACGAGTAATTGGGTAAGGAAATCTGGAAGGATGGGATAAAAGGTTTTAGCCAGCTGAATTCATGTTATAATTCAAGAACATGAATATACACCTAAGGAATTTAGTTTAACCTTAATTAAGTCAATAAATATTAGGGAAAGTAACGCTGGAAATTCTTTTTTTTTTTACATAACAAAATTTATTTATTTATTCAGGACAAACCCAGTTACATATAAGACAATTTAGATTTATAAACATACAAATATAGAATAATTAATATATCAGTAACATAGTGTCAAACATAACTTAAAAATATTTAAACAAATTAAATTATAGCAAAAATTAAAAAAAAGCGAGTGATATAACATTATAATTTTTTTTTTGTCATAAATATATTGCATGATATGCTAGAATGGAAAAAAACAAAATAATAAATATAATAGAAGTTAAATGTTAATCCATTATTTTGGAAACTTTGGATTAGTTGAGGAAAACTAAAATGTAATAAATTAACATTTTAATATTATGCATAATTCTAGTTATGGTGGAAAACTTCGAAAGATTGGAAACATTTATATTATTATGAAAGAGTTTATGAACATAAACAATATCACAATGAAATTTTGTTGAAAGTTTCAAGATAAGTTATTTCAAATTAAGTATTTTTATTTTAAAGTACTGACACAATTTTATCACCTATTATTTTCCCAAGTTGGTTCATTCGATATTTATTTTTAAAAATGTGAAAATATTAATATTTTGGCTATCATTTTATATTAACAATGGCATGAAAATTTTATTTTGCATACACAATCAATAGGATAATCCAAAGCTCTCAATTAATTACTGTTTATTTTGTATTTAATTAATTTGTATTGGGTATTATGTATTTCATTAGTAATGAAGGTTTAAGAAGTTTGTCTTTATAACTTCTATATTTTCAATTAAACGTTTTGGCAAATAGGCCATTATTATGAAATTTCTTTGAAGTGATATTTTTGAAGTAATTTTTTAACATTACTGCTTTTAATATTATTCAAATCTCCTTATCCCCTAACATGTTTAAGCCCTCCAACTTTTTTACGGCACACTTAGTTTGTATGTGATGAGATATTTTGAATTTTTATTACCAACTAGTTTAATTTTATTTTATTTATCAAAATATTTAGTGTTCCTCCAAGACTTAAAAAAAAGCAGATTTTAAAATATATTTCACAAGACAATGCATTCTTCTAATATATTTGCATTCTTCTAAAATATATATTCTATATATTTTTTATAATATAAAACATTCTTTTCATTAGTCAAATTAAGGATTAAATTAAATAATGCTTACTATTCTATAATCTAACATTGGTGTATTTAAGTTAATTTAAAAATTGGGTAGAATCATGTACAAAAATACTACAATAGCTTCAGAACGTTTTGCAGCTTTGTAATTTATCCAATTTCTTTTTTTCTTCATACCCAGATTATTATGGATTTAGAAAAGTTAAGACATTTCTGGCTACAATTTAGGAATACATTTTTATGAATAAATGGTCATGGTCAACTTATTACTAGGTATTTTAAATTTCAACTCTGTAAATCATTAAACGATTTATTAAAATAATAAGGTTGAAAAAAAAAAATGTAACTGAAAACGAATTACATACCCAGTCTCTGTCAATTAATAGTTTTATTATATTTTGGGAGAGCGCAGCACTATCCAAGAAAAGTGGAATTAATATT